GCTGCGATGGTAACAATTATGAATTATTGTATCGCACGCCATGATGGATGCATACATAGGTATGTCCCCTATGGGTCCCGGATTGATAGACAATGAGTGTATATCTTTAGGGCAAACATGCATCACTATAATGGACATTACATTTCATTGCATTACAGTTCATTATTATTGATGAACTTGATCTTGTATGTTGCTGATCTTTTGAGTGCAAATCTTTGGTACTTGTGATTGATGAATATAGAGTCTGTTAATGAAGTTATGAAATTGTTAAAGTATTGTTGTTGAGGATATGATTGTTAGAAAGTTGTTGTTGAGTTATGTGCTTGTAAATTGTAAACAGTTAGGTTGTACTGGTTTTATGTAGGTTGTAGTTTTGAGGTTTGGATAGGGCGTAAGACGTACCCATATTTTGTTCCCTTAATTAGTGTTTAGAGGTTTACCAGCTACGTAACGTTTGGTTTGGTACTCACCCCTTGCTTCTATAATTTTTTTTATGTTACTAGCCTGAACCTTTGTGATATATTCTCTTCTTTTTCGAGGCTTCTTGCAAAATTGTGAGGTAGTTATTTGTCATCTCAACTGACCTTCTTACTCCTTCTATGATTTTTTTACTGAATAAACAATGTCATATGAGACTTCTAACTTCTTTTGATTCAATTTTAATACTTTATAAGCTTGTACACGTGATAACTAGTCTTTGGGGGATTAATTTTAAGTTGATAGTAAAGTTTTTGCATTTTATTGTAATAGATAAGTTTTAGGCTAACTTGTCTTGGTGGGATAAGACGAGTGTCATCACATCCATTTTTTGAATCGTGACCAAATGGTGTTAGAGCCCCAAGTTCATAGGTCTCACTTATTTACAAGACGAGTCTAAGTACAGTCTCGAGGGTCGTTACAGAGACGTCTGTACTTATCTTCGAGAGGCTATAGTGACTTTTAGAAAAAATCTTCACTTTTTGAAATTCTATCGTGCATCCTTTGTATGTTCTGAGTTGTATCGCTTAATTCCACTCTATGTATTATGCAATGACTCATGCATAGTTTCTCATGTCAGTAGTCGATATCTTGTATGATTGGAATGTTAGATCTGTTACTAAGGTTGAAGTGATGTACTTATTGAAACGATGTGTGATTAGATTTAGCATGTTTAAAAATATGAAGGGGTTATGTAAGGTTAGTTACCCTAGTACAATGAATAGTACTTGTGTGGTATATACAATATATGGAACGGTTTCACAATTGCAAATGAAATGATTAAAGGAGCGGCTAGATAACGAACAATGTAACTTTGAATGTATAGTTGGTATAGTTGTCATAACATATATAGGTTGCTTCGAGAATGATATTGCGCCAATCAAAGTTGAAATCTTTCATAGATTGAGTGGATATATAAAAAAAGGGTCATAATACGACTTCTACAATGGTACCGATTCTTACTTGTTTAGAGTTAAGAATGCGTTACGCTTATTATTGATGCATATCATTTTGGACAAGAGACCGAACAGATTCGATAATGAATGTTAGTTACTCAATGACGAAGAAATGTTTAGGCTATTTGGGTATAATATTCTCAATAGGTATGATGTGTTCAAGTGGTGGATTAAACAGATTTCACAAGGTGGTACTAGTGGCATATGGAAATGAATACGGTGATGTCATGTGTGATTAATAACTACATAAAAGTTATCATGTGTATCATATGCTCATATAATGAGATTCAATGTTTTATTCATATTTGAGACACCAACTAGCTTGTTACTACACATAATGAGTTAAGCATTATTTACAAGAAAGCTTTTAGTGTTGTATCTTTGGTACGATATTGATGTGTTTAGGTTGTTAAGTGTAAGCTCCATGAAAGTAGATTAATATTAGGATGACAATCTTATAGGTAAAATAAGACCCAACGAGTATACTTGTGTAAAGGTAATTAAGAATTCGGAGAAGGGTCTAAAATACCCTTATAGTATTAGAATTGGTACAAAAATACCCTCGTTTATCTTTTGGCCTTAAAATACCCTTGGGGTTAACCTTTAGGGACCTATTTTGCCCTTTTGGCTAACAGACTACTAAGTCAATATTTTTAATTATTTCATCTATTACGTGGTATATTGTAATTGGTTAAAAATTTAATTAATTAAAATCTAATTAGTTTGACCCAAACAACCCTATCCACCCGGATCGACCCGACCCATCTTTCAAAATACCCAACCCATCCAAATAAAACATCAATTACCCATTTCTTTTTTTAAAAAAACCCTAAACATTTCCCCCAACATCATCAGTTCTTTGATCTGCAGCGATGTTCAAGTCAAAGTGAAGAAATCGATTTTCTACTCCGATAAAGTAAGAACTGAAGACTTACTTTTAATAATTTTCATAAATATTGTGTAATGATTGTTTGATTAAATGTATTTCATAAATAGTTAGGGCTTAGTTTTATTTGATTTTTGATTGCATTTTGTATCTTGTACTGTAGCGTTGTGAAGTTTGTGTAGTGTTAACATTATATATTATTTTCTGATGTTAGAGTCTTTTATCACTTCTTACATGTTTTATAGGTTGTTCTCGTGTATGTATGTGTGTGATTGGTATGTGTATGACTTCATTGGTCCCAATTTGTGCCTTTTTGTTTGTTTTGTGTTGTATTCCATGTGAATAAATAATGTTAGTGGTCCCTATAACTTTACTACCTTTATCGTTGTATTAAATAATGTTAGTTTTCCTATAAGTTGTTTTGTTTATAGCTGACAATTCCTTTTAATTTTTTTTGTCTTCCATTTTGAAAAATTTAAAGAATGACCAAAAAAGTGGATTTAGTATTTAACTATGGGGGCAAGTGGGTCCTTTCTCCTCAAGTTGTATACATTAAAAAATTAAATGAAACCTGGCATGGTTATGATGTTAAGTTGCTGTCATATATTGACATTTGCTCAGAGTTCATTAATAAATGTGGGTTTAGGGCTGTGAAACAAATGTTAGTAACAGGACCAACTGGTAGGTATTATTTGCTTGAGAATGATTCAAGCATTAGGACTCTACAATCTGCTCTGTCTAGCCAGTTTAGTGTTCTTCAATTATTTGTTCTAGATGAGGGTGAAGATACTGTTGTTATTCCTAATATTTGTGACCTGAACAAGCCTTACCCTGTTGTGCCAGTAGAGGTAGCAACAGATTGTGAATCAAATGAAGAGGATGGGGATCAGAATGAATCTATTCTTAGTGATTACAATAGTGATGAGTTGGAAGTCTTTAGAATGGAAAAAAAAGAGAGATCAATGACAAGCTAGACAGATTCTTAAAGTTGGGAAAAGGTATGTGCTTTAAAGATCTTAAAGAAGCTAAACGAATTGTGAGTTTTTACTCTATTGTTAGAAAGGTTGCACTTAAAGTTGAAAAAAGTGACTCTACAAGATTGAGATATTTGTGTGACATTGGTTGTCCATTTGAGTGTTTGATATCTGAAGATAGGAAAAATCAGGGATTCAAAATAAAAACCTTGAACACCAAACACTCATGTGGTGAAAATGCTTTTAAGAATAGAAGAGCCACTCAAGAAGCTTAAGCACACTACTTCAAGAAAAAACATCAGAATAATCCAAAGTACAGTGTTAATGATATGAGGCAAGATTTTGATGATAATTTTAATTTGAATGTTAGTTATTCCAAGATGAAGAGGGTTAAAAGGCTCGTGTTAGAGAAATTGGAGGGTAGCTACATTGATGAATTCAATAAGTTGGAGGGTTATGCTCAAGAATTGAGGACAGCAACCCAGGTACTGATGTTATCATAAATATATCTAGAGAGGCTTTGGAACAAGGAAAAAGAAGATTCTTAAGAATGTATGTATGCATTCAAGCTTTAAAAAATGGATGGAAAGGAGGTTTGAGGCCTTTTATAGGGCTAGATGGGACCTTTTTAAAAGGAAAATTCAAGGGAATCTTATTGGTTGCCATGGGACAAGATTCAATGAAACACTTTTATCCACTTGCTTGGGCAGTGGTGGAGAGAGAGACACTTAGAACATGGAAATAGTTTATTGAGCTGCTGAGAAATTCTCTAGACCTGGTAGATGGTGAAGGAGTAACATTCATGTCTGATATGCATAAGGTAGTTGTTTATGATTTAAATAAGTTTTTTATTTCAGTTAATTCTTATACAAATAATACTTTAACTTGTTATGATTTTAATTGTTACAAGGGCAACTGAATGCTGTTAGTAAGGTGTTTCCTAAAGCACATCATAGATGGTGTGCAAGGCACATAGAAGCTAATTGGAGCAAGGATTGGAAAAGTGTAAAAATGAAGAAGTTATTGTGGTGGTGTGCCTGGAGCACCTACGAAGAAGAATTTCATGATCAATTGAAAGTCATGGGTGGTGTGTCTAAACAAGCTGCAAAGGATTTGGTATGGTACCATGCACAAAATTGGTGCAGGGCTTATTTTGACATAGTCTGCAAAAATCATTCATGTGAGAATAATTTTACAGAGTCATTCAACAAATGGATTATAGATACAAGGGCAAAACCTATAATCAAGATGTTAGAAAATATCAGAATCAAGGTGAGTTGTTATTGTTTATAATATCATCATTTATATGACCTTAATACAGCTGATAGGTTTTATATAGGTTAGATTAATGTGGGATAACACTTAAAATTAGAGTTTGAGATTTTTATAGTTTGGTGATTTTGAGTTTTCAGCTCATAAAGTTGTACTTTTTCTTATTCTTTTCAATTTCTGTTGCTTTTTGTTGTGATATATGACCTTGTTTCTCTTTATTTGAATCTCTTAGATATTTAAAAAACCAACTTATCAGGAACTGAATTTTACATTTGAGATTAAAGCCTCAAAGAGAAGTGTTCAATTCTGTGTAAATTTATTTCCATTGACAGATCTAGTGTTTTAATAGAAATTATAGAATATAGCCTGATGTGATTGTTACATTGATAGGTAATGTTGTTCTTACTTCTGTATTGTTATATCGGTTATGAATAGGTTGCAAAAACTTGAAGAAGAGGGTAGAAAATGGAATGGAGAATTCAGTCCATATGCCATGGAGTTGTATAATGATTTCAATATCATTGCACAATGTTGTCAAGTTCAATCTAATGGAGACCAAGGATATGAGGTAGTTGAGGGTGAAGATAGGCATGTGGTGAATCTTAATAGGAAGAAGTGTACATGTAGTACATGGGACTTGACTGGTATACCATGCTCTCATGCCATTAAAGCATATCTTCATGACAAACAAGAGCCACTAGATCAATTGAGTTGGTGGTATTCCAAAGAAGCTTACATGTCGATATACATGCATAAAATACAACCTGTTAGAGGTGACATGTTATGGAAAGTTGATCCTTCTCATGCTATGGAGCCACCAAAAATACATAAATTGGTAGGCAGGCCAAAACTTAAGAGAAAGAGAGAAAAAGATGAGGCAAGGAAAAGGGAAGGGGTGTGGTCTGCTTCAAGAAAAGGACTAAAAATGATGTGCGGACATTGTAGTGCAACAGGTCACAACCAAAGAAGATGTCCTATGGTATGTAATTTTCTTTACTTGGTCAATAGTTACGCTAGTTAATTCAATATCTAACTAATTTTGCCATTTTTATAGCTTCAAAGATCAAAACAACCAGCCCAAGATGTGCTTGTGTCAACAACCCAAGCCATTCAAGAAGAATCTGGTATCACTCCAAAGCCATTCAAGAAGAATCTGGTATCACTCCAGGCTTTGTTGCTTCTTCAAGTCAACAGAGTAGCCAACCTGATGGTCCTTCAAAATCAAAGGAAATTGAAAAGAACCCTACTGGACCTTCAAAGTCAAAGAGAAAAATAATTGTTGATGAATTTGAGGATGGGCAACATGTTGAACCTTCAAGTGCAATTGCTGATGAGGATGGAGATGAGCATGAAAGTGAAGACGAGCAGACTATTCTAAAGCCAAAGACAATTTCTGAAGCTAGGACTAGGCTTCAAGCTAAAAAGATGCAGATTCGACCAACTGGTACCAGAAGAATTGACTTCAAAGGAGATGAGAATGGTGTGATCATTCCAACTAATCTACCATACTCCCCAAGAAAATTGGCATGGAAAGGAAAAGAAGCTACGACTTCAGATTATTTGACATTTGAAAAGGAGAAAAGAATTGGCAAATTGAAGGCAAAGAGGGGTGGAAAGAAGTAGTTGCATTATGAAGTTGTTGTTTTTTTGTTTTCTGGGTTTTGTTATGGCATTGATGAAACTTAAATATTTTGACTTTTTGATGTTACTATGTCTTGAACAAGTGTCTGTAACTTTTTGTAGGTTCAAAATATATGACAATGCCATTATCACTTATCTGTGGAGTTGTTGTATTTTGTTTTTCAGTTGAATTATGTATGTTGTTTGATGGTAGTCTTAACAGATCTTGTAAGTTGTGAATCCCTGGTGATATTTCTTTTTAACTAGATTGAGTTGTAAGATTTTGCAGATTGAACTTTTTGCAATAAAATTGGCAGATTGTAAATTCCTGTAAAAATTTACAGTTTGCAAATTGTTCTAAAAATTGCAGATTGAATTTTGCTGTAAAAATTTGCAGATTGATGAAAATTTTCTAATTGCATTTTGCTGTAAAAATTTACAGATTATAAATTAATGTGTAATAGCTGTAAAAATTTGAAGATTGCAGATTTTTATAAAAATCTGAACACTGCATTTTGCTGTTAAAAATTACAGATTGCATGTTGCTGTAAATAATTGCAGTTTGCCAATTCCATATCGCATTGGTTTGATCCTCCTTTCTCTTAGACGAGTTCTGGACCATTTGGTAGTAGATTATAACCATCATGATGCTTATTCTTGTGTTCAACAGGTATCAACTTCAATATTACTGCAACTATCAAGCTTGCAGCACCAATTAAAACACTGAGTAGCCATAGTTTCCAGCTGAGCAGTGTAGTGTTTGCCAACGTGCTAAGAACTCAACGATGATAACTTGGAAAATGACAGTGGAAGTTATGACACCTACGAATATTCAGCTTCAAAAAATGCCACGGAACACATTTATCTTCTCCATGTCACGACTGTTTATTTAATTGAAAACCTGTATCAAACCGCGGAAAATATCTCAGTGACAATGTTACACATGTGAATCCATAACAAGGTAAATGTTCATTGATTTTCCATCCGTATACTGCACCAAAGTTTACAGCAAGTACCTGATAGAAAACAAATGTGTTGAAAATGAAAGTATTGAGAACTATGGTAGCATCTGAACCTTCGAGCCTTAGAATCTTCTTTCCCGTGAAGTTGGAAACTAAAAGTATAGCTAGTTGGAAGATACTTGTCCGATTATATTTCTCCACATCGTCTTGGAAATCAAACTTACTTCCCTTCCAACAGGAGGTCTGTTCATTAGTTCTTCATGTGGTGGTCTGTAGCCAACACAAGCCTGTCCATTGGTGATGCTCGAGCGATCACCTACATTCAAGATTCGAGCATTTCAGGAGTTTACAGCCCCTTCTTTGCTTGTCAATATCACCACCAAGAAGCAATCCATATTCTAATATTGATGATTCTGTTGGTGTACCGAGAATAGATTTCTTTCCGCCCTTTGCCTTAACAATCTCTGCTACCGTATTATGAAATATTGCCTGCAGAAGCAATGTCATTTCACTTTCACGTATGTTCATAGTTATTGCATCCCGACCTGCATCAGTTTCTACCTTTTTCGTTTTTTCACAAATCCATATCTTGTTAACTACCATTCGGTTTGTTGTTAGTGTTCCTGTCTTATCTTTGGGGATGCAAGTAGCTGATCCCATCGTCTCACATGGGGAAAGATGTCTCACCAATGCATTGTTATCCATTAGCTTTTTCATTGCAATAGCTTTTTCATTGCAAACCTCCTCTTCTGCCGGGTCATCATACTTTGGTAATATTTTCCTTTCAAAACCAGGTTCATCATTGAACCTACATCCAATCATAACGAGATAAATTAGTCATTCAAACATAACAAAGAAGTGGTGATTACAGGTATATTAAATCTCACTTGTCATCATAGATTCCTGTTTTATTTTTTGCAGCCTTGTAAGCATCATCCCTTCGCTTTTGTTCTCGGATCTCCACATTTTCAAGCACATCAACCTCTAAGGTATACAATTCAAGTCACTACAAAATCCGAATCCACAATACTGAAGGCTAAAAGCAGAGATAAAACAAGAGAAAATATGAACATATCACTTATTTGGTTACCTTGATTAACATCATAACCAACAAGTATGCTTTGATCTTTGAGTGTCAAGACAACAACAAAATGTTTAGGGTTTTTTTAAAAAATGAAATGGGTAATTGATGTTTTATTTGGATGGGTTGGGTATTTTGAAAGATGGGTCGGGTCGATCCGGGTGGATAGGGTGGTCTGGGTCAAACTAATTAGATTTTAATTAATTAAATTTTTAACCAATTACAACATGTCATGTAATAAATGAAATAATTAAAAATAGGTCCCCAAAGGTTAACCCCAAGGGTATTTTAAGGCCAAAAGATAAACGAGGGGTATTTTTGTACCAATTCTAATACAATAAGGGTATTTTAGACCCTTCTCCGTTAAGAGTTTTACTAAGAAAGTGCATATAAGATTGAGTGACTCTTTTGTATTTTATTGGTATAATTGGGTTTGAGGTATCATGTCGTTGAGAATGTTAACTACATGATGATGGAAAAATCTAACTAAGCATAATGGTAATAAAAATTTGTGATGGATTGTGATTAGCACATAGCTATATGATAAGGATGGTTGGTTAATACATTTTTGGTATTGTAATGATGACTTGTGAGCATCTAACTTTGTCGTTTACTATTATTTGGTGAGTATCATGGTTACATGGAAAACTGTAGGAATTGCTAAGATCCCAATCAAAATAGAATTGGAAGGAACAAGAGTAACAAATGAAAAGGATTAGTGGGATATAGTGTATCCTTTGGAACCAGGTGAAAATAAAAATTTTTACTTTGATTGTAAAAGCTAAATATGTATCTTCAGAACGAGTGGATAATTTGATTTAGAAACATGTGGCGTCTTTTTTTCCTAGATTATTATGATAGTGCCATAAGTCATGCATATCAGCTAAAAGTTATTGGATAAGATTTGAGAAAGAAGTCTATGACGTTTGACTCGAGTATAGTAATAAGTCTCTTCTTGTTTCGAGTTTGGTAACTAGTACAGTTGGATTTTAATGAAGGATACAGTAAGATTGATTAAGAGGAGATTGATCATAAGCTAAAACACATGAATTCATAAAGACCTTAAATTTATGAGCTCTTGTTGATAGATAATGGATTTAGTCTACACAGTTTGAATCATAATTCAAGTTCTCATCACAACTCTACATTTGTGATAGTAGATATAGTAAAGGTAAGAAATAATTAATGTGTGGTGTATTGAGAAATTGGAATAACATGTACACTGTTTGGGTCGTAGTTTTTTTTTGTTTATATTGTTAAAGGGCCTAAAAAGTACTTATCTTAAATTTTTTATTTAAAATATAAGTCAAAATATAATAGGTTGTTGGTCAAAGGATAAGATGGGTAAGCGAGTCAGCGAAAGTAGAAAAAGTCTAGTGTATTGAAAGTTCAAGGTATTTAACATTTGCATCATGGAAAGATTATAAGAAATGTGAAGGAATAAGACCTCTCATATAGACTCTTGGTTTGAAGATGAAAGTTGAATGGATTTTCATATATAGATTTTAAATTTAACATGGAAATGAATTTGTTATGCATAGACTTACTAGGATTTAATTATCAACTTTTATAAAAATTGAGTTTTGATTTGGTGACTAGCAATATGTGTGAAAATTCTAGGTGGTTATGTCGAGCTTTATTGTTCAAAATATGATAGGCAATTTATGGATGTTCAACAGTCTCGACCTGCTGTTCTACATGGATAATTAGAATTTTGAGGGGATTGAATATACTTTGTTAATGGGACGATATAGACTATTATGATATTTTACATACGCATTTGATGGTGGGTAAAGGTTATGAGATTATAGTATATATAAGTGTCGGAGTAACCAATGGTGTCTTTGAGTTTTGGCATGAGGTATATAATGGCTTGAAGGATAGTTAAAACTTGGTATGTGAGTGGTTTAGTGATGTTGAAAATGGGTGTGATTCAATTATCATACGGCAATAGAAAAATATTTTTAGATTTGAAATTATTATCAGTTTTTGGTGTGACCCGTATTTGTCATGAAATGGTTAAATGAAAAGAAAGAGAGACATAGTTTAAAATTTTAAAAAGCTACAATGTGTTTGCTAATAAATTTCTAATATTAATGACAGTTTGAGAGTAAGGTAAATGGTTGATGTGCTTATGATGTTTGTTAATATTAAGAGTGTTGGATTTAATGGAGTATTGTGAGAAATGTGTTGCATTTGATGAATCAAGTACTTGTTGTATAGTAATGAGAATTTGACGTGGTTGATTGTGGGTGACTAAAAATCAAAAGGAGGGAGTGATTCGAATGGAATATTTCATACGGGCGCTATGGAGAAAATATATTGTGTTATTCAATTTTAGTTATGTACATTTTTATGTCGACCACCTACTTCATTTCATACATGATTGGGAGTATGATTCATTCCGTATATCGATATGTGGATCGGATGTATCAATCCTCTTATGTCATGTTGATAGGGTAGGATCTTTTAGGCAGACTTGGGTATTTCAATTATGATAGATTTCATGTTGTATGGGATAGTTAAAGTATACCACTATTTCTACCTACCTTGCTTATGAGAACTTATAGAAGAGCTTCAGTGAATAGTTACAATTATATGAAAATATTGTTGAAGGTTCTGCATCCTAGGATGTATCGCTTCTTGGATGTTTACTTGATCTTGTTTTTTTTTGGGTTAGACAAGTTTGATTCTCCATTGATTATTACTTGATGTCTAAAGATCATATTTTCTTAACTAAAGTCTATGGAAAAATTGTGTTGTGAGAATGGAATCTTGATAAAATTTGTGACGGTTTGTGTATTATGGGTGTCTGGTGATTCGTTCAAGTTCACTTCTGGTTGCATACGATATTGATTTCTTATGGTTAATTATGAAAAGATTCTCGAAGATTGTGATATAGGATGGTGTGTTTTGATTTAAATTTGATTCATGGGTTAGTTTGTGACTTGGTAAATTGATTCGTAAATCTGTTAAAGTGCAATTCGAAAGCTCAATTCTCAGTAGTTGATCTTTATTGAATGGTTTTAAGGAGGAGCTCACATGAAAAGAAAAACACCGACTAGTAGGTAATAACTCAAGCTTTTGATAACATCGATTATCCTTTCTTTTCTTTCTTTATGTTCGAGGATGAACAAGATTTTTAGTGGTGGACAACTTGTAACGACCCTTTTAGTCGTTTTATGAATATTACACTTTTCTAAGTTTAATCCTTATAGTTGTTTTTTATGAATGTTTTATGACGTATGGGAATGAGTGCTATAATTTTTAAAATAAATTAAGAGTTATTTAAGTTTTATTAAATAATAAAAAGACAATAAATTTACTAAGACTAAAAAAGGTTTGTAAGAAAAAGAAAATTAAAATAATAATAATAATAACTAATAACAAAAAGGATAAGGGATACGCCCAACTAGAAAGAAAAAAGGAAGTTGAAAGCTTCTGCTGTTGTTAGCAGCAGCACTCACGCAAAAATAACAAAAAAAAACTATATCATGTAGTGCAACAAAAAAAGAAGAGAGGCAATGCTGCATCGATAAAGAGGAACCATATGTTTGAATCAAGTATGAAATTTGATCTTCTATATTGGCTATAATTAATTTATACAAATATTTGTGAATCATTAACACCAAAGGATTAAATTGTTAATGTGCTTTAATCATTTCGTTTTAAATTTTGTTAATATCGTATTTTCTATTGGTGGGTTAATGTATGGCTAAGGTGTTTAGTGTGTAAGGAATAAGAAAGTTATAATTTTGTTTGCCGTGGGTTAATGGTGGCAGAGTGTCGGTCAAAAGGAAGTGTGATTTAGATGTAATTTGTTTACATAACTTGACTTTGGATTGAATTTTCTTAAATTATCACATTAAAATTCAAGTTTTGATATAGTAAGCTAGATAATTGAATATAGAGGGAATTTATTATATAAATACTATTACAATTACGATATTGGAGAATTTGGAATATGACCATAGGCTTAAAATTTTGAAATAGAAGGGTAGACATGATAATTGACATTAGAATATAGGAACTTGATTTTAGTTTTTTTTGTAAGTTTTGTAGTCTAGACTAAACGTTTAATAAAATCGGTGTGGTTAGTTGTGAAATCTTATCGTGATCAAATATTTGGATAGATTGCATTGGTTTGGAAGCTCAACGAAAAGTGAAGGCTCTTGAGTCATTGTTCGATTATTTGAGGCAAGTGGATTTCTAAATCCTTGTTAAGAGTATGGAATGTGTGTGTTTTCTTGTAACATATGTTTTGGAGTAATGAAAATTGGTGATGGTTTGACTTGTCTACATTGAGTAATTCTAATGATGAAAAAGGGTAATAACAGGCAATGTGATTAATTGTTTGTGTCTGATGTGTTGAGAATAGAGAATGCTTTGAAAGGCTTGTTGTATCATTATTGATGTTGTATATTGGTTTTGTTGTTGTGAATTCTGCATTATATTGAAAATTGTCATATCTTCATCATTGATGTAAAATATGTCAGTACCATTGACTTTGAGACATAGTGGTGATAAATGTTATTTGATATGAGCATGTACCATTTCGAGAGACGTATTGCGTGCCGCAATGGATAGTATATTTCGAGTGATGTATCAAAAGTCGTGATGATAAATATTATCGAGGATCGTATCGCACACCGCGATAGATGCATGGATAGATTTGTTCCTCATTGATCTCAGACTGAGAGACAGCGGGTGTATATCATTAGGTAAGACATGAATCATTACACTTGACATTGCATTACACTTATTTATTATTGGCGAACTTGATCTTGTGTGTTGCTGATCTTGTGAGTGCCTTTTTGCGGAACTTATGATTGATGAGTATTGAACTTGTTATTGAAGATAAGAAATTTTTAGAGTGTTGTTGTTAAGGATATGATTATTAGAAAGTTGTTGTTGAGTTATGTTGTTGTAAATTGTGAACTGTTAGATTGGGCTAGTTTTATGCAGGTTGTAGCATGGAGGTTTGGATAGGGTGTAAGAAGTACCCGTATTTTGTTCCCTTA